GAGGAGTGGCTGGTGGGTTTGAACTGCCAGCCTTATGGTTAGCAGTCAGATGTCTTAGGTATTGCACCACCATAGCTCCCAGACGTAGTATAGGGGCAGCCTAAAGAGCAGAGCCAAGGATTATTAGATTTTAGTTGTAATAATCCATAAAACATGTTGTGAGGGTAACAAGGAGAGAGTTCAATGCCAGAGTGTAGAATCAGTGATATTGGTGATTGATTACAGTGCGAAAAAGGAAGAAATCTGATGATTTCCTGCCTTGGGACTGTAAGGTAATGGATGGTGGTGCCCCTAAGAGAAGAAGATGATTAGGAGTAAGGAAAGACATGAGAACAGATGATAATGATCATAATAATTGTGAGCCCTCAGAGGCACCTAAGTGGAGAAGTCCAGTGAGTATGTATGTGTGTGTGTGTATGTGTATATATATATATATATATATATATATATACACAAAAAAAATTGCCATCGAGTTAATTCTGACTCATAGCGACCCCCATTGGGTTTCTGAGGTGGTAAATCTTTACAGAAGTAGATTGCCCAGTCTTGCTTCTGCGGAGTGGCTGGTGGGTTTGAACTACCAACCTTCTAGTTAGCAGTCAGATGCCTTAGGCCCTGTGCTACCAGAGCTCCTTGAGTATGTGTATGGAGCAAGGTAAATGTGAGGTAACAGTAATATTGAACAACTGACAAAGGAAGAGAAATAAAAGAGGGAAATTGAGAGAAGAAAAGGCCAAAGAAGTAGGGAGGGAACTAGAAGAATGTAATAGTATAGAAACCAAAGACAGTATCAAGAAATGAGGGCTGGTCAACAGCATCAAATGCTATGGAATACAATATGCCCATTGTATCTGTTATTTGCTAGTCATTGGTGATTTAATGAGAAGTGTCACTAGATGCTAGAAACAGAAACCAGATTTCACAATAGTTGTAGAATAGATTGGATAGGAAGAGGACATGGAAAGTATGGCTAGGATGGAGAGCTACAGTGTTAAGATTCTTTTTCAAAGCTTGGCTGTCATCAAGAAAAGGATTTTAGATTCAAATGATGGGTTTTTTTTTCAAGATGAGATAAAGTTGGGCATATTTGTATATTGGTAGGAAGATGTCAATGGAGAATGGAGAGTGAAGAAAGAAGAAAGAATGGTCATAACTGAACAAGTGTCCAGAGGTGAGAGGGATCAGGGAGGGTAGGTGAATCAGCTTTGGAGAGAAATGGGCTATATCTTAATGTACCATTGTAGATCGTTTTGTACCTAGGAGGCAGAAAATTGAGAGACTTCTCTCATTCATTTTTGTTGTATGAAAGAAAACATAGTCCACTGAAAGTGAATTTGAGAGTAGGCACTATAAGTATCCTAAGTAGAAATTAAATTTCTAGTATTTTCTTAGGGGAATGTGAGAAGACATTTTCTGGAATAAAATAACAATGTCTGGTTTGAAGTAAGTGAAAAGAAAATTCAAAGGTGATTCCACAGTTAGAAGATTAGAAAACTGAGAGAAAAGAGGACGTTTGAAAAAGGAACTTGTTTGGGTAAATATAAATTTGGTAGTGATTGAACCTCTAATGGAGATGAAAAGTCAGCAAAGAAGTCAGAAGCAGACATACACACTCTGTTACCAAACCAAAGCCCACTGCCGTGGAGTTGATTCCAACATACACACTCTGTTACCAAACCAAAGCCCACTGCCATGGAGTTGGTTCCAACTTACAGCAGCCCCGCAGAAGGTTTGCAAGGCTATACATCTTTGTGGGAGCGAACTGCCTCATTTTTCTCCCACAGAGCAGACCTTCTGGTTAGCACCTGCAAAAAAGGCAAGGAGGCCACATCTTCTGGCCTCCTCTAACCCCACAAAAGGAAGACAGAGCCATTATCAGTAACCCACGGCCTATTCCTGCAAGGCCAGACATCCTGCTTCCCTCCAGCCCTTTCACAAACCATTCCTCCCAAAGCACCCACCACCTCTCTCCTGGATTCGATAACTCACTGCAGTGGCCACAGAGAACTCACAGATTACGGGATTTATTAGGGAAGCACCAGGCTACAATTCAAGTTCAGGAAAAACACTCAGTCTCTCTCCCAGCCCACCGTCCTTCAACCAGCAGTCTCTCACAGTCTCTCTCCCAGCAGTGTGTGTCCCTCGGTGTCTCACTCAGCAATGCGTGTCTCTTGCGTCTCTTTCCAAGCAGCACATGTCTCTTTCAGCAGCATGTCTTCCTCAGCCAGCAGTCAGAGAGACGGCGTTCTGCTCTAGGAGGCCTCCTTTTGAGCCTGGCAGAGTGGCCAAACTAGCCAATCATAGCATCAGAATTCTAACCTGAGAGAGAGCGGGAACCTCCCAGAACATTGTTTTGTGCCACTCCCAACAGAAATACCCCAGGTGGGTAACTTTTACCATCAGGAGCTCCTCAGTTGCTCACAGCAAATTCCACCATGGAGCTTACAAAGACTTATAGCTAGAAAAGCCATACCAGGTAATTTACCACACCACAGCACCTGAATGCTTTAGCCACTGTACCACCAGAGCGCCTTCACTCTGTTACAGACCATTATTTTATCTTTCCTTCAGCACATGCAAGATTTTCATTTATCAGATGGCATACAGACTTCCTAGTGGAAACAAGATGGTAAGCCTTGGGTATTACATCTTTAGAGGAGTGAGAATCACTTACATGTGAAGAGAAAGCTATGATTTGTGGTAGATGAAGTCATGACCTACCACAGCCTGCTCTTTCTCTCAATTTTTTTTCATAAATTCAGTTTCTGTGATACAGACTCCATGTCACTTCAGCCATTTTTTTTTTTTAAGTTATTTTGTTTCTTTACATAGGAGTTGCTTTTTAGTATTTTCTTTGTTATATTCTTTCCCTATTTATGCTCATCATCCTTTCAAATTGATAGAGGGTGCCACGTCTTATATCTGAATCCTGGCTTATTATACAGTGCCTGGAATGCTTTGTTATGCAGCAAATAAATTCTTGTTGGTAAATTAATTGTTGCTTCCCCTAGTTCTTTGTCTTTTATCCTTCTCAGCATCCTTTTATGTGTTCTTTTCTGCCGTTTGGCCTACTTGCATGCTTTCTCATCCTAGATTTTTTTTAACCTGTTGTGTTTTGTCTCCAAGTTTTCCTTTCTTCCTTAATAGACTGGGTCATCCCACCATTTGTTTTATTTCTTTGTTTGCCTATCTTACTTTATTTTGCATAATCCACTGTTGATGTGTTAACCCTTCCTCACAACTCTGTTTGTTCCTACTGTCTCACTCTTTGCCTCCTGAGTTCTCTTTTCATATGCCTTCTCCAAGAAAACCATTTCATTGAGTCATACAACTAATAATAAATAATATTTATATAGCTTATACTTATTGCCAATACTGTTCTAAATGCTTTATGAGTGAATTTAATCCTCACAATAATCCTGTGAGGTATGAACTACATTTTATAGGTACAGTAGAATAATTTATCTTGATAACCTATTTTTCATAGAATTTCTGCTTGCTAACAAAGGGGTTGGCTGATGTTTGCATCTCCTATTTATTCTAGATGTTTTGAGCAACAGTAAGGATGAGGAACCAACTGTGAAACAGGAAATTGAGGAAATGGAAGAAGAAGTGGAACCACAGAGTGTAATTGTTACAAGAATCAAAAGTGAAATTGACCAGGATCCCATGAGTAGAGAAACCTTTGAACTTGTTGGTAGGTTAGATAAACAGAGAGGGATCTTCTTATGGGAAATACCAAGGGAATCTTTGACCCAGGAACAAAGAATGTTCAGAGGAAATACTAATATAATCCGTAAGAGACCGAACTCAGAAGAAAAGTGTCATAAATGTGAAGAGTGTGGAAAAGGTTTTGTCCGCAAAGCCCATTTCATTCAACATCAAAGAGTCCATACTGGTGAGAAACCTTTTCAATGCAATGAATGTGGGAAAAGTTTTAGTCGCAGTTCATTTGTTATTGAACATCAGAGAATTCACACTGGGGAAAGACCCTATGAGTGTAATTACTGTGGAAAAACCTTTAGTGTGAGCTCAACACTTATTAGGCATCAGAGAATCCACACTGGAGAGAGACCGTATCAGTGTAATCAGTGTAAACAGAGCTTCAGCCAGAGAAGAAGTCTTGTTAAACATCAAAGAATTCACACAGGTGAGAAACCTCATAAGTGTGCTGACTGTGGAAAAGCCTTCAGTTGGAAATCACACCTTATTGAACATCAGAGAACTCACACTGGTGAGAAACCCTATCACTGTACCAAATGTAAGAAAAGCTTTAGTCGAAATTCATTGCTTGTTGAACATCAGAGGATTCACACTGGGGAAAGACCTCATAAATGTGGTGAATGTGGGAAAGCTTTTAGATTAAGTACTTACCTTATACAACACCAGAAAATTCACACTGGTGAGAAGCCTTTTCTTTGTATTGAATGTGGAAAAAGCTTCAGTCGGAGTTCATTCCTTATTGAACATCAGAGGATCCATACAGGTGAAAGACCTTATCAGTGCAAAGAGTGTGGGAAAAGCTTCAGTCAGCTTTGCAACCTTACTCGTCATCAGAGAATTCACACAGGAGACAAACCCCATAAATGTGAGGAATGTGGAAAAGCCTTTAGTAGAAGCTCAGGCCTTATTCAGCATCAGAGAATTCATACCAGAGAGAAGGCTTATCCATACAGTGAAACTAAAGAAAGTTTTGATCCAAATTGCAGCCTTGTTATACAGCAAGAGGTCTATCCTAAGGAGAAATCTTATAAATGTGAAGAATGTGGAAAGACTTTTAGTGTCAGTGCTCATCTGGTACAACATCAAAGAATCCACACTGGTGAAAAGCCCTACCTATGTACTGTATGCGGGAAAAGCTTCAGTCGGAGCTCATTTCTTATTGAACATCAAAGAATCCATACTGGTGAGAGACCCTATCTGTGTAGACAATGTGGCAAAAGCTTCAGTCAGCTTTGTAATCTTATTCGACATCAGGGTGTGCACACAGGGAATAAACCCCATAAATGTGATGAGTGTGGGAAGGCCTTTAGCCGAAACTCGGGCCTTATTCAGCATCAGAGAATACACACAGGAGAAAAACCTTATAAGTGTGAGAAGTGTGACAAAAGTTTCAGTCAACAGCGCAGCCTTGTCAACCATCAGAAGATCCACGCAGAGGTGAAAATCCAAGAAGCCCACGAATGTGATGCATGCGGTGAAGCCTTCAATTGTCGCATTTCCCTTATTCAGCATCAAAAATTGCACACTGCATGGATTCAGTAGATACAAAGAAATGTTAAAGCTCTGTTTGATTTGAGAACTAGCTTCCCAAATGCAGTTTCACTATGACTGAACTTGAGTCAGATTTAATGGTTGATAAAGCAAATTCTCCTTGGCCTTAGGCGATGGTGTCTAAATGCATGTAGGTAATTGCAGACTTCCATTACTCTTTGTTTGGGATGCCATAAAGACTCAGATAGTAATGAATCTAAGTTTCTTTAACAAATCTTTCAGCAGAGAGGTTAAATGCAGACTCAGAACCCTCAGTTATAGTGAAGAAAGGGAATGGGACAAAGCTGAACTAGAACAAGGGAGCTGGAAGCAGATGATGTTATAAAACAGAATGGTGAGTGAAAGAGTCTTCTGCCATCATCTTTGGTGGTTCTTTCCATTCCATGATGTATTTGGCTGAGCATGCCAAAGTCCAGTGATTGAGCATATGATTAACTTTTCAAGGAAACAAGGCCTAGAGTTATTTGAAATTGGTATCCAAAATCATGGTTAAGAAAGCTAGTTGTTTGGCATGTGAGTTAAAGGCAGTTCCAATGCCTTGTGGTCTCTATATCAATGAGTGGACCATTAACTTTACATATAAAGATTATGTGAGTAAGAAACCTAGCAAAGATGTTACCAAGAATCTTTTGGGAGTGCCTTTTATCCAAGATGGCCCAAAAAGGTAGAGAAAGACACTTGTTTTATATCTTACATATGTGAAAGATGTTTGAAGTCCTATACAAATAGGACTCCACTACTGAGAGCATGTAGAAGTGTACAGATTCTGATCACCACAAATTGAAAATAAAAAGGTTTGGAGTCAATGCTAGGGTGCTGAGAATTTTTTTGTTTTTTATTGCTTTGTATTTCATGGTAACTAGATTTTGCATGCAGTTTTAAAATCCTTGTTTCTGGTTCTAGGGCTTCCCTTAGTTGAAGGTTATTATAAACTGATTAATTCATCTCTGTTTTAATCATTAAAACCTGTTTTGTTTTTTGATTTGTGTAAGAGTTCTTTGTTGCTTTAGTGAGAATTCTGTTGTACTGTCAAGGAAATGGCTCTCACTTATTCTACTTGTGGCTAGCAAATCTTTTCTAGAGTAGTTCACATAGGGTTAAGTCCAGATTCTCTTGAGCATAGAATTCTAAATCATCAAGGAACTCTAATTTTAACTTCCTAATAGTTTGAGCGAATGACATACCTTTCCAGTACAGCCCCAGACAAACTTTTGTCTCCCTCCCTTTCAATATATATGGTGTATTTGCATGTGTGTATAAATAACAATGGAGGTTATGGTACATGTGTAGAAATATGCCTGTCTTTGTACACTCCCTTATATTCAAATTATGGTACTCATAGTTACTATACACTTAACATTTCAAAACCATTTGTAACCCAATGAAAAATACAAAAATAACTGAAACAGCATCTGCTTCCTTAATAAATTCCCCTGCACCAAATTGTTCTATATACCATTGGTTCCCATGCCAGGGTCTCAACTAATAATGAGGTTCTTAGACCTGTTTTAAATATTTTATGAAAAACTGTAAAGCATATGTGTACGTTTTCACTGCATCTACACTAAAACACCATTTCTTTGGGCTGGATTACTATCTGTTTCATGTTATGATTATTGCAGAATTTTTTGCTGTTGACATAGAAATTTGAGGCCATGGTTGAACAAGATAACTCTTGTTAGAACTGTATAACACCCTTGGACATAAATCCAGAGTAACAATCAGAATTCCAGTAGCAGTGAACAGTTTTTGACTATATGTGCAATTCACTGCTTATAAAAAGTATTAGCAAAATGACCTTTATTAAGCAAGTTACCTACCATGTTTTTCATTAAGTTATCATGGGTTCACTTCTATTTCCCAGTAAAATGATAAAAGAATGCAGAGGACTCTTATGAGTTGCCTGGAAGAGGAAAGTTAAATCTTCCAAGAGAGGTGATACTTAGAAGAGATTAAGAGTATCAAGGAACATGAATAATGTGCCAGGACCAGGAGTTGAGAGAACCTGGTAACTACAGAGTGACCCATTGCTTAATGTCTGGTGAATGTGGCACTAGGGAAGGCTGCCTTTAAGAAAGGGCCAATTGAGTTGTTGTGCTAAGGAGATGAGACTTTATTCCTTTGCCTTAAATTCTGTGGTAAACATTTTCCTTTGTATTGAAATAAGCTGTATGTGTGTGAGTAAAAAGGTACCTAAATTTTAAGTGTGCAGCTCAATGAGTTTTCACAACAGTAGTACCCCACAGGTAATTCCCATTTACCCCGTTTCAGACATTACACACATAACCCACCCTGTAGTGCCTCCATTTTAACTTAAGCAGCAATGGTGAAATTCTGAATGGAAAGGGAGAGATTTGGGACCATGGTTCTTGACCTTTCTTAGATCTGTGGATCTTTCTTCAGAAAAGTGCACACACAAAATACTGTTTCAAGGACTTGTGGCCTCCATGCCAAGAACCTTGGGAGGCTCTCAGAGTAGACTCAGGCTCTTCCATTTGAGAGGATATGGTGTCTTCAACTAAGGCTGTGGGAATGGATGAGTTTGAGAAATGTTTATGAACCAATTTGATTGCTAAATTGGATGAGGAAAGAGTCAAGGTGAGTTTGAGTGGTTGGTGCCCTTTTTCACTGAGAAGAGATACAGAGTACTTGATGTGGAATCAAGAGATTGCTGAAGTTGAGCATGTAACATTTGGCCTATCTGTGTGTAAAGCAGAGGTGACCAGAGGCAATTGGATATATGGCTGTGGTGCTCAGGGTAGAGACCTGAGTTAGCAATTGATTTAGAGAGTCATCAAAGATTAAAGAGGGAAATTGAGTGAGATACCTAAGAATAAAGCAAGAAAAGAAATGCAGAGGTGGAATCCTGGGGACCACTCTTGTTAAATCTTGGACAAGGTGAAAAGGCCCCTGGAAAGACTGAGGAACAGCCAAAGATATGGAAAGCCCAATACTGATAACTATAGGAAAGTGACCTGGAGGAGACTGCAGAGAGGTCAAGCAAGGGTTGAAGAGTGCCCTTTGCATTTGGTCGTTAGCATCTTTAATGAGTTCTGTGAGACTTGGAGTTGGAAAGAGCCAGATTCCGGGAGAATTAAGTAGTGCTTGGAGAATGTAGATCAGCAGTTCCCAAATACTGTCAATCCATGAGAAAAGTTTATTGTTCTACGTTCAAATGTAAAACAACAATGTAGTATTGTAAAAACAAAGATAAATTGATTAAAGACCTTACTTTATTCTGAAATTATGCTGTTTATTGGAAAAAAAAAACAAACATGAAATAATCGCAGTATTAGGGTATATAGTCTGTTAAATATCTTAGGGAAAAAAGTTGTTGACAGCCCTTTATTGGACATTCTTTTCATATACTGGTCTATAAACATCAGGGAGTGAAAATAGACTGTAGATGGAGATTAAAGAAAAATTAGTATCTTTCAGTTCTGAAAAGTCATTTGAGGAAACAATTGAAGGTAAAAGAGGAAAACTTGCCAGTGTCCTACTGGAAAAGATAAAATAAATCTTGGCACTAATGGATTATTTGGGGAATACTTTGGGAGAAAAACAAAGAGGAGAGATTTAGTACCTGATGAGGGAAAAGAAAGAGAATTCACTTAAGTTGATCTATTTTCAAAAATTAAGCAAAGTCATCTTTTGAGAGTCAGGGAAGGAAGAGAAGTGGGAAAAGTTAATGATAGAGTTAGGCACTTGTCAAAAGTAAAGGTTTGGAGTAGCAGTTGTGGAAAGTGGGAGAGGGCACCAAACAAAACGCTTGTGGGGCTTTTAGGGCCCAGCTGTGGTAAAAGACTGTGCACTTCCAATGGAACTACTCACATTGCTGATGGGAATTAACATATGCAGCAATTTTGGAAGAAAATTAGGGTTAAAGTAGATGCAGTAAATTATTAGTAGATAACATTTCAAAACAAGCAAGTGAGTCTTGAGGCATTAAAAAAAAGTCACCAAAATACTCCATTTCTGTAATTTTGATGACTGAGGCATTTTGCTTTTGTCTGTCTTCCTAAACAAGAATGTCCTCAGCAACACTTAGAGCACACAGCCTTCCCTGTTGAGCATGGTGTTTGCTCGCAGGTGCATTTCAACTCTTAATATCTAGTCTTTTATTTATTTATTTAAGTTACTGCTCCCTGTCAGTATTTGATATACCTTCTCTTCCTCCTTCCGAAGTGTTTTATGGCTTTGGGTGGGTGGTGAGATGGCTTGATTGGCTTCTTTTTAATTAAGGCCATCTCTAGAATTGTGGTGCATGGACAAGCAGAAGAAAGACATATTTACAAGTGCTGCTGGTTCACTCACTATTAGATGATATAATAGTTCAAACCTACCAGCCACTCCTCGGAAGTAAGATGGGGCAATCTACTTCCATAGTGACACTGCCTCAGAAACCCAAGGAGGGGTCACTATGAGTCGGGTCCGACTCAACGGTACATAACAGCAACATAACAGTTCATTAAAATTCACATATTCCACTCATATTCCTTGTCATGGGGAATAACGTACTTGATCTATACCCAGTACAGTCTCTATTAGAGCCAAGCAGTCATCATTGAGCTTTAGTGTAGTGAAAGGTGGTGGAAGTGGCTAATGTGCTTGACTGCTAACTGGAAGACTGACCACTCAAGTCCACTTAGAGGGTCTTTGGAAGAAAGACCTGGAAAACTACTTCCAAAAACTCAACTATTGAAAAGCCTGTGGAGCACAGTTCTACTCTGACACAAATGAGGTCCCCGTGAGCAACAATCAGCTCAGTGGCAACTGATGGTGATCTGTAGTCTTCTTTCATTATCTAATGAGTAATACGATTTTAATGCACATAGATCCTATCTCCAATTTTAATTGTACTAAGATTGTGATAGCTTTTGAAAGTAGGAAATATATATATATTTTGTTGTTGTTGTTGTTGTTGTTGAAGAAACAGAAGGTCAGTGTGGCTGAAGCATGGTGTTCAAGTGGGAGAATCTTTAGCTGGTGTAGAATCCAATAGGCTGGTGTAAGAATTTTGGTTTTCATTCAACATTCAGTGAGAAGCCTTTGAAAGGCATTAAGCTCAGAGTGTCATGGTCTGATTTATGGTTCTCTTTCTTTTATCTTCATTACCAGGTGGCAGACACCTTCCCATGTTATTGCTGGAGAAGTTGAGGCTTCTTACAAAGAAATAAATTACCATAGAAATCACAGAAAGGAATTACTGCTCAGGTTTCAAAAGTATGTATTTTTAAAAATACCTTCATGGTGCCATGTTAATTCCATAAGTATTAGTTGCGTAGTTGCATCAAGGAGCTCTTTGACCTCAAGGAGACTTTGGGGACTGAACAGTAAGTCATAGTGTTATGCAAAGACTATGGTCTTTTCACTGAACACTGAGGTTAGACTGACTAAGCATTTTACACAAATAAAACCTGGTGCGTAGCTGTGCCTGTGCTATTTCCTGACCAGGAACCATGCTCTTGAGAACATGTTTGTCGTGTCAGTCCAATGGCTAAGGAAAACCTCCATATCACATGACAGTCATCGCATCCCTGGAAACAAGTGCACACTGAATTCTTTGGCCTGTAAATTCCCTGAGGGTGAAACTAGGACAAGACAAGGAAAAGTGGAAGTGGCTGCAGAAAGCTGCCTTGACCTTAGGTATCTTAAGACAGTTGGGTAGATTTCTCTGACACCTGAAACCTTGGGCTGCAGTCGGGCTCTGGTGGTTCTGAACTGAATTCCTGCTATGTTTAGAAGATGCCCTGTTTCTCAGCATGCCACAGTACTCAAGGGCTGAGTCTGTGCATGTATGGCTCTTCCTGACAAGAAATTTGACATTTCATTTGTCCCAGGATTTGCCTCATGGGTTGAAATGAAACAAAAATTGTATTAAGGTGGTGAATGGCTATGCTATATAAGGAGAGTTTGTGGTGGTGTTTCCTCCAGTCTAAAGGTGTCATGTCCACTCACCCACCCCACCAACAAAAGGCTGGGCCCT